AAAAAAAAAAAAAAAAAAAAATAATGATCACAGACAGTCGATGGATAGTTCAGATAAATTGGACATTTTTTAGAACCAGGTGAGAGAAGCTTTATAAAAGTGTCGAAGAAAATTAACATTGAAATTCTTGTTCGATCGTGCTGTTCAACGATCAAGCGATTTTATTAGCATATTTAAAATAAATTTTATTGTTCCATCTTATAACGTACTGTGAGTTTCTTAAGTCTTTCTCACGAGGAAAATCACACAAGTGTTGGAGATATTACTTAATAAGATTACTCCTCTCTCAGTTCAGTACAAGAGAGACTTAGTGAAGTTGTTCAATGTAGGATTATAAATCTCACGTCTTAAATTTCATCATACGTAATACCATTATTAATATTTATCGCCTATAAAATGTTGAAAGTATGTATTTTGTATGCCTCATGTTATTACATCGCCCAAGAATTAAGATTGACAAATCAACCAAAAATTCTTAAGAATGTTCAACATTAAAAATTTTAAAACGAAATACCGTTGACCGGTTTAATGGATAGTAAAAAGAAAAGAATTCAGAATGAGCTTACAGAATAACTTACTGAATAATTATTTTTTATCGTCACATCTTTTCTGACACGTTTTCTGCTTCTTCGAGTTAATACATTTTAATAATTACGTTGCATACAAAAGCATTAAAAACATATAATTTCTAAAATCATTTCGCTGAAGCGTCTCTCGTACTACATTGTAAAAGAATTAATGTTCATAGGCTATTATTTATTTCAGTAAAAGTATCTAAACGCAAATTGAATGTTGTGACCATAATTGAAACCGATTGAAACTCTATGAAAAGAAACGTTTCGATCGTATCGGCGATTTAATATCGCTACGTTCGAAGAATACTTTCACTGGATGCCACAATAGATAGAAAAATGACAATAGCGATCGTAGAAGCGCGAAATCTCGACACGGTTACAGGCGATCGACGACTCTTGTTTTACATTAAAAGAACCGCTAACCGATTTGTAACGATGGATCGGTAAATACACTACTAATTAACGTACGCTGTCATGTAAAACGACAATAACCTTTTACAATGGTTTCTTCACTTTCACAATTCGTGTGATAACAAGCATGAACGACAGGCAAATAGTATTCTACCATGATTCATTTGGAAAGTAGAAACTGCATTATGTCGACCATAGTTGAACTTAGCAAACAAAAGTCAATGGTAAATATAATCTTAGAATTCTATTCTCTCGTTTCGCTTTATCCTTAATTTATCTTATTAATTTAATAAACATCAATTTTGTTTTAATGTTACTGTTACAGGACATACGAAAAAAGATATAATATAAAATATAAGATATAATATAAAAGGTATAAGAATTACTGACAGTTTGAACTTTAAATCTTTTTGAGTAATATATTTAACAATATTAAGTATTATGTAAATAGGAAATAAAAATATTATAAATGTATGAAATCGTAGAAATTAAAAAGAAATTAATTACACAGGGAATAATAATTTAACAATAATTAACTGTACCCGATCATCGTATAGTCCATTGCTTCTGAACGTTATGTGACATTTGATTGAATTAACTGAAAGAAAAACGACGGATGTACATAGTGATGCTGACCGTGAACTAACGAAGCCGGGCGTTACGCGTTATTACTCAAGTTCACGGGTCAAAGTTCGAACGACTATGCGTGAGTTTCGTGTATGTCGGTCATGAATGTTTATACCTATGTCGCTTGGCCACGGAACAATTGACCCCAATATATAGGTCGCTTTCCACTAATCAGCGTATATTTCCCTCATATTACTTCCACAAATGTTGCTACATCTATAAATACGACCTATTAAGTAAACTATTTATATTGAAATTTACAGTTGATCATTCTTTTAAAGATGAATTAATTTTAATAATACCATTGTGATTAATTCATGTTTATTGTGCTTGGAATTTTTATTAACTGTTACATATTATAAAATTCTAGATGCAAATAAAATACAAGAAAGAAAGAAATTGCTTTCGTTTAGATTGTTTTAAAGAATTGTCTTCATTATTGTGAGCTAACTCCTACGATTCTTCGATTCTCTTTAAAGAAATTCCTTTCAAACAACCGTGTTTCATTCGATTAATCCATCTACGTATTATTGCAAAGTTGTAGACGTAAACTGAATACGAAAGAAATGAATAATTTCAGAATGCTCCCTAGAAGCCTGTCTCCTGTAATTAAGCATTGTAATTAATCGCCCAATCTTCGAACGTTCAAGCTCTTTCGAAAAACCATCTCAACTTGATTAACCCTCGTATCGTTCAACAAATGAAAAAGCCTCTTAAACGTAAAAGCCTAACCTATATAAATGTGAAAACTGCATTACCTCTTCCTCGAACATTCAAACCACTTCCAAAAATATATCAAACCCAGCTTAATACCTCTGCAACGCATCTCCGCTGAACAACCGTACATACATTCACCATGCTACCAAGAATATTCATCAGGAAGAACGTTGGAAGGCGAGCTACTTCCATTCGTTGTCGCGAAACCTCGCTAGACAAATGATTCAGCCAGACCGACCTGGTTCAATTTTTAAACCAGCTGAAAAAGCGATGGAGGGGGTGTAAGCGCGAAAAAATCGAGTGCAACGAATGCGTGCATCGACGTCGGGATGCGATCACACGCGGCCGAGCATCAGAAATAGCCGGCGCGGTAATAAAAGTTCTCGGAAGACGTGCGAACTCGTCGGCTGTCACCAATTATGGAGTTGTATGAGACTCGATGCCGCGCACCGAAATATTGGAAGTAATTGCTGGGATCGTATTACGTGGAATGTAACATGCATGTGGATGTAAATCGTGGAACGAATCATGGTGGAGGATCGGCTGTTGAAAAGTATGTTTGGAGAGTTGACAAGCTTAGAATACTAGGGTGCTTTGGGGCGAAACTGAATTTGGAAGAATCCTCAGAACTTTATCATTCTGGGTTTTCACCAAAACTACTCTGGAAGCAATTGTCTACTTTTGAGAAACGTGTGATGGGAATTTTAGAAAATAGAATTATAGGATATAGATGTAAGAATATGTATTAAAATTGAAATATGTATATGTGTTTTTGTATTAAGATTTGCTTAAAATCTATCTGAATGATTTTTGAAAATTCCCAAAATTTGTATTTCTTTTTCCGTTTCCGTTGAAATGTTTAATAAACAGCCGGCTGTAATAACTTCGTTCGTTTATTTGAAAATACTTATTGTGTAAATGTGGAAATATTATTATTTACTGGAAAATAAGTGAAATTAATTAACACATCATTGTATTTCACAGTAAGCAGTTTCACAATAAGCACGTTAAGTCATTGTGTTTCTGACTTATATAAAGAGACCTTTTATAATGTACCTATTATTCTTTTACATTGTTTCATCTTGACAAAACAATACGCGAACTACTTTATATATATTTCTCAATAATATCGCGTTTAAGCAACTTTCACAAATTATTTCACTCAGTGGGTTAACTAGAAATGAATTCTATTCCTTCTAACATCTTACGCTTTCCATCACTGCGGGAAACGTCGTAAGTAGTTTATAAATTTTACGTTCAATAAACCCAAACGCGTATCAGAAATTTCATTTTCCAACGCGTACCCTGTAGGAAGCGGAGCTTTATTAAACATCGATCGCGACGTCATTACGGTAAACGCGCGTTTTCGAGGTTTATTGGAAAATCGGTGCAAAGTCTTCGCCGAAACGATCGTTTATGCCGTAGAAGACGGTCGTAACCGTTCGACGAAATCATTCGACGCACCATGACGTTCCAGAGGTCGGGATTTGAATAAGAAAAGACAGGGAAAGTCGGCTCGCGGCACGATGACACCGTGCGTTCTCCATTGTTTCCATTGTCACTCAGACTCGACACAATCGTCGCTGGACGACAACAAAACGATCGAACAATGGGCAACGAGTCCAGCCACGATTTCCAAGTGAAATTCCATCGTGGCTCTCGTACTCGTTTCGAGGAAAGAGCTGATCGGCACGATAACGAGGGATTCTCGTGAACCTGGCTGCTTTTGCATCATCGAACCAGCTTGACAATCCTCGTTTCGCAATTCAAGCTGCTTCGTAGATGAATCCATCATTCCTACGATTTCTCTTTTGATATGTTAATCCTTTTCCGGTGGAAAGTGTCTTCCTGGTCTTTCTTAGTTTGAAGAATTCGATTTTTTAATTGGCTGTTTCTGCTTCTATTAACTACTATAATCAATCGTCGGCGAATCACTTGATATTTTAGGTGGAGTTTTGTCATTCTCAGAGAAACTTGCTTTGGTTCAAGTACCTTCGTTGTTCGAAGAATTTGTTTCTTTCGTTGATCGTCTACGGACTTATCAACTGTATGCTGCAGTATAATGGATTATTAGCGATTTAGTTGAAATC